GGGAACCGGAAGAGGTAAGGAGTCCGAAATGTACCTCTGTGCCTCCACATTGTGGAAACTCACTTGTAGTGTATAAATGGAACTAGATGGACCCATACTTACCCAAACATGGATTCATAGGTTCTCCACATTACTATGAGGACAAACATGAGTGAAACGGTCTCAATCCAAGGGAGGAACATCAAATGGACCAAATTTGGGAACCGGAAGAGGTAAGGAGTCCGAAATGTACCTCTGTGCCTCCACATTGTGGAAACTCACTTGTAGTGTATAAATGGAACTAGATGGACCCATACTTACCCAAACATGGATTCATAGGTTCTCCACATTACTATGAGGACAAACATGAGTGAAACGGTCTCAATCCAAGGGAGGAACATCAAATGGACCAAATTTGGGAACCGGAAGAGGTAAGGAGTCCGAAATGTACCTCTGTGCCTCCACATTGTAGGAAACTCACTTGTAGTGTATAAATGGAACTAGATGGACCCATACTTACCCAAACATGGATTCATAGGTTTCCACATTACTATGAGGACAAACATGAGTGAAACGGTCTCAATCCAAGGGAGGAACATCAAATGGACCAAATTTGGGAACCGGAAGAGGTAAGGAGTCCGAAATGTACCTCTGTGCCTCCACATTGTGGAAACTCACTTGTAGTGTATAAATGGAACTAGATGGACCCATACTTACCCAAACATGGATTCATAGGTTCTCCACATTACTATGAGGACAAACATGAGTGAAACGGTCTCAATCCAAGGGAGGAACATCAAATGGACCAAATTTGGGAACCGGAAGAGGTAAGGAGTCCGAAATGTACCTCTGTGCCTCCACATTGTGGAAACTCACTTGTAGTGTATAAATGGAACTAGATGGACCCATACTTACCCAAACATGGATTCATAGGTTCTCCACATTACTATGAGGACAAACATGAGTGAAACGGTCTCAATCCAAGGGAGGAACATCAAATGGACCAAATTTGGGAACCGGAAGAGGTAAGGAGTCCGAAATGTACCTCTGTGCCTCCACATTGTGGAAACTCACTTGTAGTGTATAAATGGAACTAGATGGACCCATACTTACCCAAACATGGATTCATAGGTTCTCCACATTACTATGAGGACAAACATGAGTGAAACGGTCTCAATCCAAGGGAGGAACATCAAATGGACCAAATTTGGGAACCGGAAGAGGTAAGGAGTCCGAAATGTACCTCTGTGCCTCCACATTGTGGAAACTCACTTGTAGTGTATAAATGGAACTAGATGGACCCATACTTACCCAAACATGGATTCATAGGTTCTCCACATTACTATGAGGACAAACATGAGTGAAACGGTCTCAATCCAAGGGAGGAACATCAAATGGACCAAATTTGGGAACCGGAAGAGGTAAGGAGTCCGAAATGTACCTCTGTGCCTCCACATTGTGGAAACTCACTTGTAGTGTATAAATGGAACTAGATGGACCCATACTTACCCAAACATGGATTCATAGGTTCTCCACATTACTATGAGGACAAACATGAGTGAAACGGTCTCAATCCAAGGGAGGAACATCAAATGGACCAAATTTGGGAACCGGAAGAGGTAAGGAGTCCGAAATGTACCTCTGTGCCTCCACATTGTGGAAACTCACTTGTAGTGTATAAATGGAACTAGATGGACCCATACTTACCCAAACATGGATTCATAGGTTCTCCACATTACTATGAGGACAAACATGAGTGAAACGGTCTCAATCCAAGGGAGGAACATCAAATGGACCAAATTTGGGAACCGGAAGAGGTAAGGAGTCCGAAATGTACCTCTGTGCCTCCACATTGTGGAAACTCACTTGTAGTGTATAAATGGAACTAGATGGACCCATACTTACCCAAACATGGATTCATAGGTTCTCCACATTACTATGAGGACAAACATGAGTGAAACGGTCTCAATCCAAGGGAGGAACATCAAATGGACCAAATTTGGGAACCGGAAGAGGTAAGGAGTCCGAAATGTACCTCTGTGCCTCCACATTGTGGAAACTCACTTGTAGTGTATAAATGGAACTAGATGGACCCATACTTACCCAAACATGGATTCATAGGTTCTCCACATTACTATGAGGACAAACATGAGTGAAACGGTCTCAATCCAAGGGAGGAACATCAAATGGACCAAATTTGGGAACCGGAAGAGGTAAGGAGTCCGAAATGTACCTCTGTGCCTCCACATTGTGGAAACTCACTTGTAGTGTATAAATGGAACTAGATGGACCCATACTTACCCAAACATGGATTCATAGGTTCTCCACATTACTATGAGGACAAACATGAGTGAAACGGTCTCAATCCAAGGGAGGAACATCAAATGGACCAAATTTGGGAACCGGAAGAGGTAAGGAGTCCGAAATGTACCTCTGTGCCTCCACATTGTGGAAACTCACTTGTAGTGTATAAATGGAACTAGATGGACCCATACTTACCCAAACATGGATTCATAGGTTCTCCACATTACTATGAGGACAAACATGAGTGAAACGGTCTCAATCCAAGGGAGGAACATCAAATGGACCAAATTTGGGAACCGGAAGAGGTAAGGAGTCCGAAATGTACCTCTGTGCCTCCACATTGTGGAAACTCACTTGTAGTGTATAAATGGAACTAGATGGACCCATACTTACCCAAACATGGATTCATAGGTTCTCCACATTACTATGAGGACAAACATGAGTGAAACGGTCTCAATCCAAGGGAGGAACATCAAATGGACCAAATTTGGGAACCGGAAGAGGTAAGGAGTCCGAAATGTACCTCTGTGCCTCCACATTGTGGAAACTCACTTGTAGTGTATAAATGGAACTAGATGGACCCATACTTACCCAAACATGGATTCATAGGTTCTCCACATTACTATGAGGACAAACATGAGTGAAACGGTCTCAATCCAAGGGAGGAACATCAAATGGACCAAATTTGGGAACCGGAAGAGGTAAGGAGTCCGAAATGTACCTCTGTGCCTCCACATTGTGGAAACTCACTTGTAGTGTATAAATGGAACTAGATGGACCCATACTTACCCAAACATGGATTCATAGGTTCTCCACATTACTATGAGGACAAACATGAGTGAAACGGTCTCAATCCAAGGGAGGAACCAAAGGTAAGGAGTCCGAAATGTACCTCTGTGCCTCCACATTGTGGAAACTCACTTGTAGTGTATAAATGGAACTAGATGGACCCATACTTACCCAAACATGGATTCATAGGTTCTCCACATTACTATGAGGACAAACATGAGTGAAACGGTCTCAATCCAAGGGAGGAACATCAAATGGACCAAATTTGGGAACCGGAAGAGGTAAGGAGTCCGAAATGTACCTCTGTGCCTCCACATTGTGGAAACTCACTTGTAGTGTATAAATGGAACTAGATGGACCCATACTTACCCAAACATGGATTCATAGGTTCTCCACATTACTATGAGGACAAACATGAGTGAAACGGTCTCAATCCAAGGGAGGAACATCAAATGGACCAAATTTGGGAACCGGAAGAGGTAAGGAGTCCGAAATGTACCTCTGTGCCTCCACATTGTGGAAACTCACTTGTAGTGTATAAATGGAACTAGATGGACCCATACTTACCCAAACATGGATTCATAGGTTCTCCACATTACTATGAGGACAAACATGAGTGAAACGGTCTCAATCCAAGGGAGGAACATCAAATGGACCAAATTTGGGAACCGGAAGAGGTAAGGAGTCCGAAATGTACCTCTGTGCCTCCACATTGTGGAAACTCACTTGTAGTGTATAAATGGAACTAGATGGACCCATACTTACCCAAACATGGATTCATAGGTTCTCCACATTACTATGAGGACAAACATGAGTGAAACGGTCTCAATCCAAGGGAGGAACATCAAATGGACCAAATTTGGGAACCGGAAGAGGTAAGGAGTCCGAAATGTACCTCTGTGCCTCCACATTGTGGAAACTCACTTGTAGTGTATAAATGGAACTAGATGGACCCATACTTACCCAAACATGGATTCATAGGTTCTCCACATTACTATGAGGACAAACATGAGTGAAACGGTCTCAATCCAAGGGAGGAACATCAAATGGACCAAATTTGGGAACCGGAAGAGGTAAGGAGTCCGAAATGTACCTCTGTGCCTCCACATTGTAGGAAACTCACTTGTAGTGTATAAATGGAACTAGATGGACCCATACTTACCCAAACATGGATTCATAGGTTCTCCACATTACTATGAGGACAAACATGAGTGAAACGGTCTCAATCCAAGGGAGGAACATCAAATGGACCAAATTTGGGAACCGGAAGAGGTAAGGAGTCCGAAATGTACCTCTGTGCCTCCACATTGTGGAAACTCACTTGTAGTGTATAAATGGAACTAGATGGACCCATACTTACCCAAACATGGATTCATAGGTTCTCCACATTACTATGAGGACAAACATGAGTGAAACGGTCTCAATCCAAGGGAGGAACATCAAATGGACCAAATTTGGGAACCGGAAGAGGTAAGGAGTCCGAAATGTACCTCTGTGCCTCCACATTGTGGAAACTCACTTGTAGTGTATAAATGGAACTAGATGGACCCATACTTACCCAAACATGGATTCATAGGTTCTCCACATTACTATGAGGACAAACATGAGTGAAACGGTCTCAATCCAAGGGAGGAACATCAAATGGACCAAATTTGGGAACCGGAAGAGGTAAGGAGTCCGAAATGTACCTCTGTGCCTCCACATTGTGGAAACTCACTTGTAGTGTATAAATGGAACTAGATGGACCCATACTTACCCAAACATGGATTCATAGGTTCTCCACATTACTATGAGGACAAACATGAGTGAAACGGTCTCAATCCAAGGGAGGAACATCAAATGGACCAAATTTGGGAACCGGAAGAGGTAAGGAGTCCGAAATGTACCTCTGTGCCTCCACATTGTGGAAACTCACTTGTAGTGTATAAATGGAACTAGATGGACCCATACTTACCCAAACATGGATTCATAGGTTCTCCATATTTCTTTCTCCTGATTCTGTGTGCCCACCAAATTCAAGCAATAGTCTAAAAGGGTTTTCACAAACTTCTGGGCTCTCTTCTTTGAGACCTTCTTCTATTCCACCCCCTTTGGCATTGCCTAAGTTTTCCAGCCTATCTCTACTTCCTTCCCAAACTTCTCCACAGCCTTACACTGAACCGTCACCAAATAGAAGGGTTTCACCTTCTCTTGCAGAGCGTAGAGGCAGTCTAAAAAAGTCTCTGAAGCTGCCAGGTTTAGCTGGTTCCAGTAGAGGCACAACGGGTTTCACTTTACAGCCGGATGATGGTAATGACATTGTCTTCAACTTGGAGGGTGTTAGAAATGGTGATCTCAATCCATTAAGCGAGTGCAAGGAGACAATACCTTCTAGCAGAATTGTAGATTCAGAATTGCCGCAGAACGAAATGAGTAAATGTGATGAACACGAATCAGGAAGTGGCGGCAACTTGGGCAAGCCGTTAGCATGTCGGTGGCCAAGTATGGAGATGATTACAGAACTGAGTAGAGCTTACTTAGATTCGGAATCTGCTATAGGGATTCAGTTGCCAAGTGATGATGTAGGAAAAACCGGTAGTAGGACTTTGTACATTTGGATAGGAAAGTCATTCTCTTTGGATAACAACTCTTCTCTGTTAGATAGCAACACAACGTCGGGCACTGTGGAGAATCTTGATTGGGTAGAGATTGGTGAAATCATTTTGTCTCAGATGGACTTGCCAAAAGATACCCCTATAAAGGTAATAGCTGGAATTTTGAGCTGCTCTGCTACTTTTATACAAGCTTTAAGTGTGCAGTTTGTTGTGATTCTTATACTGGCGTGTGACTAATAAGTTGGTTCTCCTTTTGTTCACAGATAGTTAGGGAAGCTGAGGATCAGACAGAGTTTCTTGCACTGCTGAGTGCGCTGTAGCACTAGTTCGACACATTTACTCTCGTTTTTTTTTTCCTTTACAGATTCCTTTAACTCAACAGCTTCTACTTGGACAGAGTATTCATTCAGCTCAGGTGAGAAAATCTTTGATAATACCTTATCTTCATTAACAATTGCATTCCAATGAAAAACCATTTTGATCTTCATATCTGCCTTTTTTTTGCGGCTATTGGGTCAGTAGCACTAGTGACCTGTTAACCAAATTTCTCATAAACCATATATGTTCTTTTGGTTTGCCTTTGATGCAGGGATCTCTCTGTTGTGCTTATGGAAGTTGATGTTGGGGGGAAACAACTCTCTTGTACAGATGGAACAAACTACTTCTTCTTCTACCACATTGAATCCAAAAGGGCCATTGTTAGCATTTTATCTGATAAAATTGTAAGGTTAGGGGGGGGGGCTCTAAGAGGATTTTAGATAATGACACTTCTTACAATGTTTACAATATACTCAGCAGCACTATAGATTTTTTCTTTTCTTGTTGTGTTATCAGTTGGTAAACTTCATTTACGACTTCCAAGTAAAGTTCTGACTGAGTAGGTTTTGATTTCTATTGGAGCCTAATTGAAGAGTTAGTTAACTACAGCTTTAACAGTTTCTGTCTCCATAAGTGTATTACTTCTTCATAATGCTCCAAAGATAATATATATATTCTCTAATGTATATTATAGGAATTGATTTGGTAGAGATGAGCCAAATTTATTACGAGTCATGCAACATGTTTTTCATTCAAATTCATCATCTTAATTAACCCATAAACTGTATAGATATTAGACTTCTATTAGTTGCGTAACGTTCACATAAATCTCAGAAAACTGTAAACTATAACTGTTTCCAACCCATAAATGATAAATCTCAAGGCTGATTAGACATACGTTCACATAATGTTGCATTGACGAGTCAAAAAGCCATAAAGTCAAATTCAAATCTAATAAAAGTACCATGTGGACTACTAAATGATCGAATTTTGGTTAACCTATAGTTTAAAAATAGGCTTATAATCAGTTGATATATGAAGCCCACTACTATATTTAAGGCCCAAACGTCATCGAACTAGGGTTGAAAGCCTTTTTGCTTCATTTTCACTCTCCCTGCAATAAATAAATAAAACCTCCAGCCGCATCAAACTGATCTAGGGTTTCTTTTTTGCCGTTCAGGTTCGTCTCGCTCTCTCGATATATCCTTTTGCTCAGCTTCTATTGATTTCTCCGTTTTCTGGGTATCGAATGTTGCATATTGTTTCTGGATACTAGTGAATCTCTGTCATTTTCTCGTTCCATGATTTAATTCTGAGCTAGGCTTATTGAGATTACTATTTTCTAACTGATTTGCTTCTCTGTGTCTTAGCAGGTTTAGTGGTAAAGGATCTCTCTTGAGTAATGGCTCCAGCTAAAGGTTCGTCTCATCCATCGATATCCGATCTCCGTTTAATAGCTCTACTCTCAATATCTTTATAGAACAGAGACATTGAAGAATCAAATTGTCTATTGGTTATAGCATATTAGTCTGCCTAGTAAATTAGTTTTCATTTCATCGTTATGTGATAAATCTTGTACATGTTCTATAATTTGCTTACCGTAATCTTAGTGGAAATGGTTACTATTTTTCATTTGAATGAGTCTTATAAAATGCATTAGATTGATTCAACTCTCTGTTTGTGTTTTTGTAGTTGATGTCACAAAGAAAGCAGACCCAAAGGCAAAGGCCTTGAAAGCTGCTAAGGCAGTGAAATCAGGCCAAAGCTTCAAGAAGAAAGACAAGAAGATCAGGACGAAGGTGACATTCCACAGGCCAAAGACATTGACAAAGGCCAGAGACCCCAAGTACCCAAGGATCAGTGCAGTCCCAAGGAACAAGTTGGACCATTACGGTATCCTCAAGTACCCACTCACCACCGAGTCCGCCATGAAGAAGATTGAAGACAACAACACTCTAGTCTTCATCGTTGACATCCGTGCTGACAAGAAGAAGATCAAAGCCGCTGTCAAGAAGATGTATGACATTCAGACCAAGAAAGTCAACACCCTCATCAGGTACATACACGCTTGAAAACAAAACTAAGAGACATTGGTTTAGTTTGTACAATCTAAACGTGAGCTGATGAAATGTTATGGTTGTTGTTGTTGTTGCAGGCCCGATGGAACGAAGAAGGCGTATGTTAGGTTGACTCCTGATTATGATGCTTTGGATGTCGCTAACAAGATCGGAATCATCTGATTTATCATCCTTTCTCTTCCCTTTTGGTTTTGAGGTTAAAACAGACTTGTGTTTTTCTTTGCCTTTCATAGTCTCAGTTTTGGTAGTCAAGTTAAAAGATTTTTTTATCAATCTCTTTTGTTGTGCTTTTATCGTTGGATTGGAAGATGATTATATATGTTTTGGTATTTATTTTCTTGTTTCGTTTTAAATTTCTTATCCACAATCAACCAAAATTCAATACTGTTCAACCAACAGTCAACACTGTTGATAATTTTGGATCCATCTTTGTAGAGCGTGACTATTTAACTAACTCTAAAAGTTCGTTCTAAATGTTCCAACTTTTGTGGTAAATCTACAGTTCATAATGGAGCCCACACTTTTGATAAGTATCCAATCAGTTGATCAATTTTGTTTTTTTTTTTGTATTTGTGCATTTTTTTTTCCCTCTCTTAAAATATTATGAAACTGAAAATATGACACCGTGGTGCATTGTTTTTGTAACGTCACTCGTGATTTTATTATTTCCAAAATTGGAAGAGAAAAAGTTATCGCTTCGAAAACAATAAAAATGACGTATATAAATAATAAAAATCAGAAAAGATAATCACGTAGTTTGGTCAAGAAACCTGTTTAAGACTTTGATTGCCACGTTAAATTGTCGTTCTGGTCAGAGAGAAGAAGCCTTTATATGTAAAGTGTGTTATGGGGCTTCTCCTTCTCCATCACCACACACACACACAGAGGAACAGACAGTATGAGCAATCATCAAACTGTGAGATTACTTTTTCACTCTTTTCCCATTATACCCCTTCACTTTCTTTCCTTTTGTTCTTGCAAATTTATTAGATAAGCTTTGGATGCTTCGTCGAGATCTCTTATCTTAAGTTTGATTTTGTTTGCTATATCTTTTTCATCATGTATTTCTGTCTTTTTCAAATCCGATAATTCTTGATCTATTTGTTGACTTTCTTGCTCCTTTTTTGTTGGGAGAGAAGCAGCAGGTGTTGAAGCAACTGGAGCCATGGTGTGAGCTTAAAGACAAAGTGGTCCTTGTGACAGGAGCTTCTTCTGGTATAGGCCGAGAGGTCTGTCTTGATCTGGGCAAAGCTGGTTGTAAGATAATCGCAGCAGCTCGTCGTGTCGATCGTCTCAAATCACTATGCTCTGAGATCAACAGCTTTGGTTCGACCGAGATCCAAGTAGCCGCAGCTCTTGAGCTAGACGTTTCATCAGATTCAGCCACCATTGAAAAAGCGGCTAAAGAAGCTTGGCAAATCTTTGGAAAGATCGATGTGTTGATCAACAATGCTGGAATCAGAGGAAACGTCAAGTCGAGTTTGGATTTGTCTGAAGACGAGTGGGACAAAGTCTTCAGAACCAACTTAACCGGACCTTGGTTAGTCTCCAAATACGTATGCAGGTTAATGCGTGACGCTAAACGCGGTGGCGGCTCGGTGATAAACATCTCGTCGATCGCCGGTCTCCACCGCGGTATGTTGCCCGGTGGACTCGCGTATGCGTGTTCGAAAGGCGGTGTTGACACCATGACGAGGATGATGGCTATGGAGTTGGGCGTTTACAACATCAGAGTCAACTGTATCGCGCCGGGGCTTTTGAAGTCAGAGATCACACAGAGTCTCATGGAGAAAAAGTGGCTCAAGAACGTAACCGAGCGGACCATCCCGTTAAAGGAGCAACAGACCGCGGATCCAGGGCTTACCTCAATCGTTCGCTATCTCATTCACGATTCTTCTCAGTACATCTCCGGGAACACATACATTCTTGACTCCGGAGCTACATTACCTGGTCTCCCAATATTTTCTTCTCTTTGAACACACCAAGATCTTGTGTACTTTTGTGCAACAATAAGTGTATACATTTACACATTCTCTTTTACATACATTATCCATGTTTTGCGAGAACAAACACGCACACACAAATTACGAGGAACGACAAAAATGAAAAGAAAAAAGATAGCCTCTGAAATAAACAAAATCGATATACCTTTGGAGAACGAAGACCTACTTCTGATGCTTCGTCTCCAATAAAGAATGAGCAGCTCTCAACACCGGGGAAATCTACGCCTACAAGCTCTACTTGCTACAGAACTAACCATGGTTGAATGTTTTTTTCTTTTTTGAGCATTTTTTCTTATATCAGCCGATGTTGGCGTAGACCTTTACCAAAATGCGGTTGCATCAAACGGACATACAATCCATTCTTTTCTGCTAAAGAATCATGCGTACCTTCCTCTACTATCTTCCCTCCGTTGAGAACCACAATGTTATCCACATGTCGCATCATAGCGGCTCGATGCGCTATCAGAACCGTCGTCTTGTTCCCCATTATCAACGTGTCGAGAGCTTCCTGCACAACCCGACTTGATTCAGATTCGATGGACGAGCTTGCTTCATCTATCAAGATGATGGGAGCGTTCTTCAGCACCACCCGCGCTATCGCTATCCTCTGTTTCTGTCCCGGGGTGAGTTCGACGCCTCTCATCCCGATATGCGTGTCGTAGCCGTGAGGCAAGCTGCTGATGAAATGGTGCGCGTTTGCGATTCTTGCTGCTTCTTTCATCTCAGCTTCACTCGCGTTATGCCTTGCGTATATGATGTTCTCTCTGATCGTCGTGGAGAAGATTATGGGTTCTTGCTGAACTAAACCCATGTGGCTTCTCAACCATCGCAAATTATATAGCTTCAAGTCTCTCCCGTCAAGTAGGACTTGACCAGCAACTGGGTCGTAGTATCTCTCTATCAGTGAAATTATCGTGCTTT